TTCTTGCCCACCAGGCAGTTCCGTGTGGCCAGGTCTCGGTGGACAAAATTCAAGGAGGAAAGGTACTTCATGCCAGAGGCGATCTGAGTTGCCATGAACTTCAGGTTGGCATAACTGAGGAAAAACAAGAGAGAAAGTCGCCTGTGGACAGAAGGAGCCGTAACAAGTGCACAGTCTGCACGGTTCCAGCCAACGCCGACCCCCACATGGCTCTCTGCTCTTCCCTGCATGGCTACTCCCCACACGCCAACCCCGCCGTCTGGACACAGCGAGCTGTGGGGCTCGCTGCTCCCCGTCTGCAGACGAGGTCCCTGTCAGGAAGGCAGACAGGGGAGGGACACGGCTGTACCTGACAGTGGGCACCTGGCTGGGACTGGAGCTGGGCGGCTCGTGGCGGGAGAGGAACTGGTTGAGGTCCCCGTTCTCCATGTACTCGGTGATCATGCACAGAGGGTCGTCGGCGATGCACACGGCTAAGAGGCGGATGATGTTGGCGTCCTTGAGCCGGGACATGATCTTTATCTCCTTTAGGAAATCATTCCTTTGGAGAGAGACACACGTGGATAAGCCCAGAGGGGCCAGAGCCAGTCAGGAGGCAAAGGTGGCACAGCGCCCATCCCCCCCGCACCAGCCTGGTTCCCAGACGACCTTGGGGAGGACAGAGGACGGCCGGGCTGCCTCACTCTCACAGCCTGGAGCAAGGCCCGGCCGCACTGCGGCCTGAGAGCGAGAACTGTGAGTCACGGCGGCAAGCCTGCACCCAGCCACAGGCCTGCCCGCGGAGAGGTGCCCCAGGCTGCATCAGATACGCCCGCCCAGAACTGCTCGCGAAGTTAAACTCTTCACCGAAATCGCGTCTGACGAGCACAGCAGTTTACCCCTAGGGAGAGCCCTGGAGCCACTCTATGAAGAAAGCAGAAACCCTGGGTCCACCTGGCAATTCTGCGTTTTCTCCTGCTGGCTTTTCTGGATGCAGGCACCCCAGCGCCGGTCCCAGCATCAACACGGGTTTCTTACAGTTGATGTGGGCAGCAATATGCGGTCATTTCAAAAACAAGTGCTCACTGGGCCGAGACTAGTAACTGTCCGTGTATTTGGTGGCAGCCGCCCGAGTCACAGAGTGGCTGTGCCCTTCCCCACAGCGATATTTGGGTCGGGGAGGCCACCAGCCCACATTCCCCACATGACCGGAGCAGATCGGTTAAGTCTCCTGGGAGTTTTCTAGGAAAATTCTATCAATGGACACCCCCCGAACCGCGTCAAGTACAACAACCCCAAACAGGGGTCCCCATGGCTCTACAGGGGCCAGAGCCCCGGCCGCCCACCACTGCTCAGGGGGCGTGGACGCAGGGGGGGTGCCATCGCTGGATGAGACCCCAGGTGTCGTCTGTCATTCGTGCTCTTGTCCCTCACACTGGAGTTCTCAGTGACAGTCCCGGCCCCTCTCAGTCTCCTCCCTGGCTTTTCTTCTTCATCCCACATCCTGCCGTTGGCAAGGCCTTTCCTGTACCCTTTCCGCCGTGTTTGGAGTTCACAGTGTTTGAGGAGGGATAAGAAACTCTCTCACTCTGAGTCTCAGCGAGACTGCCATCTATGGAGGGAGGGTCCCCGTTGGGGAAACTGCTAAAGGACTGTGGATCCTTCCGCTTTGAGGCCATGGTCCTTTTCCAAGTGGAGGTAGCTTCTCACTGTGGGGGTTGCTGGACATAGAAGAAAAGGAGCACAAAAGAGGGGAAAAGTGAGAAAGTAAACGGAGATGGAAAAAAGGACGGAGAAGGCTGAGCAGGAGGGTGGTGACCGGCAGTAAGGACACTCGGGAGCCTCTGTGGACAATGGCTGAGCAAGCGCCCACTCGGACGGCCATCCGTGGGACGGTCAGGCCGTGTGGACGGTCAGGGAGTGAACAGATAGCGAGTCCAGTGGGAAATGTGCTTTCTGGGAGGGAGATGGAGAACAAAGGTGAGGATGCTGGCCCGGTAGAAGATAACGCGTAACCATGGAAACGTGAGGTGGCTCACAGACCTACCCTCTCCAAAGAAAAGATTGCTCAGAAGTTTCCCGGGGTGTCCCTGACCTGACCTGAGGATGAAACACATAAAGGAAACTCAAAAGGCAGCCACAGACCTGGCGTTCTTGTTGGCATCTGCCCGGAGCATCTTCACGGCCACCAGGACCGGCTGGCTGGCACTGGCATCCACGGGCAAGTCTTTGCCTTTGAACCTTTCCATCCCCTCCACTTCGCAGAGATGGACCTGGACGAAAGGCATGCGTCTCAGCACCAGCGCTCCCGAGGCGGAGGGACGACCGCTCACCACGCACGTCCACCAGGCACATAGATGCATGGACACATCTACTACCCAAATACTTATAAAAACAATAGGACGTGTGCTACTTCATACAGGTCGTGTCCACGGCCCGGAACACGGTGTGTGTGAGTGAACGAATCCGCAGCACGGCATCCACCACGGAGGGCTCACCACCCGTGCGAGCCGCTACACACGCTTGAACCTTTGTGGATCAAACGCCAGGCAGTGTCCCCTCTAAGACGACCCCTTAGCACAGGGCTGGCGTTGCAAGTGCGGGTCCCGTAACAGCACAACGAGCCTGCATCTTTCACTCGGGGCAGCATGAGGACGGAGAGCAGGAGCAGGGCCTCGGACTCCTGCAGCACCAACCCCCAGGGGGAGCACGCCGCACCTGAAACCAGCCCCCCACCCGTTAACCAGGCGTCACCGCGGGAGCGTGGGCGGCCACTGCTCGGACCTTCGGAGGCGCGGTGACGAGGAGGCTGAGGGGAGAGGGAAGGGCCAACACACAGGCCTGCCTCGAGGCGCCCGCCCGCGGCTCCTCCTCGGCTCGGCCTGCGAGTCGGGCGGGGCTGCTGTGGGACGCGGGTGGGCGGGCTTGTGCGGGCCCTTGCACATATGTCCCATGTGCAACATGGGGCCCTCGAGAACGGTGTCGGGACAGTTTACGAGACGATCACCTCCTGCGGGCCCCCGCCCGCTGTCACCCTAACCAGTGTGAACATATCGAATGTCCTCAGGGCCTGGAGAGCCTGGGGACTTGCCCGCTGTAACTCCCACACAGAAGCCAGCTGGGCAGAGGTGCGGTGACCCAACACCGGCTTCCTGGGAGCCGAGGGGAGGCGTGGCAGGCGTCCGCAGGGGGTCCGCTGTGGAGGGACTCCGCTCTTGGGCCACGTTTGTTCAGTGCGACCTGTGGGCCACCGGGACTGGATGCCCCTCTGAGCCACTCACCTCCCCGAACTGGCCTTCCCCCAGCTTCTCCTTGAAGGCGAGCAGCTTCCGGGGGAACTCCTCCACGGCCACGTCTTTCCCGGAGAGCAGGTCCATGGTGAGGGCGGGCACGGAGTAGGTGTTGCCCCCGGTCACGCCCTGCAGGTTCACGATGTCCGCCTCTGCGTAGTGGGGCGCGCCCTCGGGGCCGCTGGGCGGGCCTGGCTTGGCGAGGCCGCTGCAGCCTGGAAGACACGGTGGAGGGCTCGCTCCGGGCTCTGAGGCTCCCGGGGTGGCCCCGTGAGAGACGGGGGATGGGGCAGGTCCCCAGCCCCGTCTCCCCCCCATGCTGGGCTCCCAGAGGCTTCCTCGTGGCTTCGGAGCGGCCACCATCGCGCCTCTCCTTTCTCAGACCACAGGACCGCGAGCATGTCCTTTGGGTGACCTTGGGGACGCTATCCTGGCGGCCATGGCCTGTGAGGCGGAGGTTACGGCGGAGCTCTCTCTAACAGCATCTTCCTTCATTGTGAGGCACCACCCCTGGCCTAATGACCTAGTTTAGGTCGTGAACCGCTTTCTGGTTAAATTTACAGGATCTAGTTTAAGACACTCCCTAACTTGAAAGAAAACATTGAAATACGAGGGGTGTTAGCATTCAGAAACCAACTACGTTGCCCAGCCTGGGAACTCGCTTCGTTCCGCCCTCTTCCTGCCGCCTGTCCGCACTCCAGGCTGCAGCCCCTCCTGAGGCTCAGGCCGCAGCTTCCTCTCTTCCCTCGGGTCTGTCGCCTGCCCTCCCCGCCCCTGAGCACCCTCCCTGCCCCTAACGGGCCCAGCAGCCCCTCTGATGTCGCTCCACAGCCACTTCTGAAAACGCTGGATGCGAGGCCGCTGGCACTGCTTTTCCAAGCGGAGCTCTTACTGAGAAGAGCCAGGAAATACGCTCATCAGGAAATCTGTGTGAGCGGTAAAGCTCACCAAGGGAAACGGACTGAACGAGGGAACAGTTCTGGGTGGGGAAGCCGAGGCCCCGGGGCCCCGCAGCCTCCATTGCTCCTCCTCCAGGGGCCCTGGTCCTGAGCGCACCCCCAGACGCTGGTGCGGGGAAGGCCCTTCCGGGCACTCTCCCTCGGCCACCTGAGGGGGCTCCTGGCCCAGACGCCGCAGTGAGCCCTTCTGTTCACTGGCTTCCGCCTCTGAGGTGGGGGGCCTGGGCCCCTCCCGCTGACCAGCCGGTGGCACACCCACCCTCCCACCCTCCCACCCTCGGCCAGGCTGCCCCCAGCTCCCTGCTGCTCTTTCAGCCTCACCCGGCGCCTCCTCCCCGGGAGCGAACTCTGGGAGCTTGCGGATCAGCCTGGAGGGCTCCTGGTAGTCCGGCCGCAGCGGGAAGATGCGGTCGTAGGTGGAGCTGGAGCCCTGCTCACTGGGCGGCGAGGAGTGGTTGTTGTGGAACATGCTGGACTCGCTGGGCAGGGACAGGCTGACGGTCATCTCGTCATCCAGCATCCGCCGGGAGGCCTGGCAGGGAGGGAGGGAGGGCTCGCTGCACGGGGCCTTCCGGCTCCTCTCACCCGCCCCCCACGGGCTCTGCGAGCTCTGGGACTGCGCGCTCTGGGACCGCGCGCTGTGCGGCCGGTGCCGGCTGTTGGCACAGGCCTCACTTCGCGTCCCTGACACGTTCTTCACCTGACCCGCTGAGAGCCTGTCCGTTCCAACCAGAGCTCTCAGGCCCAGCGTTCGATGTCCCCGGCAGCAGTGGACTTGGCTGGCTACCCCGTGCCAACCACAGCCCAGTGCGTCCGCGCTCACCCAGTCCCTCTCGCCCACAGTCTGACCGACCAGCAGTGCCCAGTGAACCACACCTGCTTCAGGATCACAGCAACTAACTGTGTGTCGTCCTGTCTGGTGTGACCTGCTGCTCCTTCAGAAAGATGCCAGAATCTGAACCTGGCTGTTTGGTCCCTCACCTCACACTGTGGGTGTCGATGAGAAACTTAGACGCCTGCTTCGCCCCTTTACTGCCTGAAGGTCCCTGTGGCAGTAAAACCCCCAAACCTAAGCTTCCGCCCAGCACACTGGGGGGCTCAATGCACACGGCTGAACCTCCCCAAGAAAGATCCGCGCACACCCTGCCAGGAGCCCACAGGAACTACAGCCTGAAGCGAATGCTGAGTGACGCCAGGAACGGGCCTCCCCGCACGTTCGCCCGCAGCGCTCGGAGCCACGGGGCCTCTGCAGGTCCCTTGCTCAGGGCCCGGGAGAGAAAGAACTTTCACGGACCAAGATAGACAGTCCAGGGCAGACGTTCCTCCCCTTTGGAGTCCAGTCAGCACCCTCTCCGGCCCAGGCGGGGGTTTCGGAAGCTAGGCCCAGGGGAGGGGTGAAGCATGGCTCACAGAGAGAGAGAGAGAGAGAGAGAGAGAGAGAGAGAGAGACAGCCCCTCAGCCCCACCGCCTGTGTGATCAGGACACAGCAGCTCCGACCGCCCAGCAAGCCTCAGCCCAGGGCACCAGCGCCAGTGCCCCCACCTCCGCCTCCACCGCCTCCGCCCCTGGGCTGCCCTCTCCCTGGACGCAGACGCGCGTCTGTCACAGGCGTCACTCGTGCTGCAGGCGCCTCCTGTCGGTCTCCAGTCGCTATTTGTGGTGAGAGCCTTAATTCACGGAAAGTGCTTTCAGGCTGACGGCGAGGCCTAAGTCACAGGGAAGCACAGGCCTCTCTCCCGTGAGATGCTGCGGCCGAAACCCCAACGCGAGCCTCTCGTCTCAGAAACTGACTGCGGAGCAGCTCAGTCTGGAGCCCCGTGATGCCGTCTGTCCTCCCAGGTACAACTCTGCCCAACTCACCATCACTCAGTGAGGGTCAAGTGAAAGTCCTTGTGGACGGTAAAGCGTTAGACAGATGTAATAACAATTATTCAGATAAGTTGGCCTGGACAAGAAACTCCGAGGAAGGGGCCCAAAGGGATGGACAACTGTAACGTTAAGCATGCAGAGAAGCGGGAATAGAACTGTGACAGCTTGGCTTGGATATTAGTGAGACTGGATGCTTCACACACACACACACACACACACACACACACACACCAAAAAATAAACAGCAAACAGCAAAGAAGAGGAGCAGTATTGTCAGAGATTTGGGGTAGGTATCAGTTGTCCATCAGAAGCACTTGTTAATATTTTTTTAATTGTGTTTTAAGAGAGAGAGGACGAGAGATGGAGAGAGAAGTAGAAACATCCATGGAAGAGCAACATGGATCAGCTGCCTCCTGCACACCTCCTACTGGGGATGGAGCCCACAACCTGGGCATGTGCCCTCACAGGGAATCTAACTGTGACCTCCTGGTGCATGAGTCAATGCTCAACCACTGAGCCACACCAGCTAGGCTCCTGTTAATTTTTTAAAAATAAATATATATATATATTTTTTTTATTGATTTCAGAGAGGAAGGGAGAGGGAGAGAGAGATAGAAACATCAATGATGAGAGAGAATCATTCAGCAGCTGCCTCCTGCACGCCCCGCACTGGGGATGGAGCCTGCAACCCAGGCATGTGCCCTGACCGGGAATCAAACCGTGACCTCCCGGTCGATGCTCAACCACTGAGCCATGCCGGCCGGGCATCCTGTTCATTTTTTTAAACGCACATGCCTGCACCTCCCCCTCTACCCAGGGCGTCAGCATCTCCCAGGCGAAGCCTGAGCTGAGATCTCACGACTGGGAGGAGCTCTCTGGGGAGGTCCCCAAGTCTCCGCTCTGAGAATGAGAACGTGGACCTGCCCCGTTCTTTCCTGGCTCCTTCAGTGACCAGCCTCTCCACCCTGCGCTTCCCGGGGCCCGGCGAGCGCCTCGCTGGGTGCAAACCCTCACAGTTCGCCCTTGGGTCCCGGGGCAGCAGCGGCCTGGCGCCTCCTCACCTTCTCCAGCATCTTCTGCCAGAACTGCCTCCAGAGGATGGTGACAATGACGGCCAGGAGGATGAAGATGATGGCCACCAGGCAGCCAATCAGGATCCGGGTGTTGCTGTCGTCAACTTTCAGCATTGGGTCTGCAACCAGGAAGAGAGAGAGAACGCCGTCATCTCGTGGGACAGGAAGAGAAGGGGGCCTGGACCAGCGACAGGCCTCTCAGGGTAATTCCTCCGGTGCCACCCGGACACCTGCTCCCTCTCGGCCTTGCTACTCAGTCCTCTCGCCTCCTCCTCCCGTGTCAGACGGGATCATGGACAGCTTTCCAACGTTCCCCAAATGTCGTTCCTTTATCACCGCGGCCGGGGTCTCCGGGCCCCTCGTCACACCTCAGGAGAACCAGGTGAGGGTCCCGGTCTGCGCTCTCTGAGATGCTCGTCTTTGAGACGCAGGGTCACGCATTTCCCAGGGGCTGGCTCCGCGGCCAGTGAGTGTCTGAAGCTACGGACACATGTCTGCACAGTTATCTCCGATTAGAGAGGCCGGTGCTGCTCTCAGCGCCCCACCCATCCATGGACACCCGGGGGGCCGCAGGTAGAAAGGTCTCCCCCTGCTTCTGCTCCCCATTTCCCCAGCTCTCACGAAGCCACTGGAAGCAGGCCACCTCCGCCTCGGGCGAGCACATGCCGGGCAGGGAGAAGCGGAGGCTGGGCCCACCTGTGGGGGGCGCTGTCTCCGGGCAGAGCCACCTGCGCCAGCTCCCACACAGACAGCAGGTGCAGTCTCCGCCCCCAGGAGCTCACTTCACCTGGTTTGTGGGAGGGGGACTCACCGTAGGTGGTGGGCGCCCCCGGCGAGGCGGGCAGAGCCCCGGAGGTGTTGTACATGGCAGCATCTGTTAAAGACAGGCGGAGTCAGAGCTGTGGGCGAGGAGCGGGCAGCAGTCTGCAGAGGACGGGCCCGGCCGGCCCAGCGTGAAATCAACTTCTCGGCCAGCCACTCACCTTTCTTAAACATGAAATCATGTCATACATTAAACAAAAACATCACCATTCATCTATTGAGTAAGCGCAACTTTTGTAAAACTTTTGTTTAAGTTATTATATACTAGTGCCATGGTATAAAAAAGAAAGAAATAGTGATGTGGCCCTGGCCCATTTAGCTCAGTGGTTAGAGTGTCGGCCCACGGACTGAAGGGTCATGGGTTCAATTCCAGTCAAGGGCATGTACCTGGTTGCAGGCTCCATCCCCAGCCCCAGTTGGGGCACATGTGGGAGGCAACCAATCGTTGTGTCTCTCTCACATTGATGTTTCTCTCTCTGTATCTCTCCCTTCCCACTCTCTCTAAAAATTAATGGGGGGAAAATCCTTGGGTGAGGATTAAGAAGGAAGGAAGGAAGGAAGGAAGGAAGGAAGGAAGGAAGGAAGGAAGGGAGGGAGGAAGGGAGGGAGGCAGGGAGGTGTGGAGAGCCGTGACTACATATTATCATAAAGCACACATAGGAAGTAAGACCCCAAGTCAGACACCGCGCAGGAACGCGGGTACGTGGGCCTGGTGCAGGCTCCTGCCAAGGGCCTCTTTCCCTGCAGGAACTCCAACTGTGACAGAAGGGCTCTCACCCTGCCGCATGGCCTGGCCCTGGAATTGTGACCGAGCCTCGTCCTGCGGCCAGAGGACGGCACCGAGTGCTCTCTCTGGGAGGCAGCAGCTTCAGGACTGGACCCCAGTATTCGAAAGTTCTCCTCTGGGTGTCTGGCCGAGGAGGTCAGGAACTAGACCTGCACGTCTGTTCCACGTTCTCGCCAAACCCTCGGCGCTCCTTCGCAGCGTGCTTTCCGCGTGCTGGCGGCAGCTGGCCCCCCGGGACGGCTCAGAACCGGGTCCTCGGGGTCCAGTGAACACGAGTATTATCGTGACGTGGAACCCAAAGCTCAGGAGGCCCCAGGAGTCAAACACCGTCCGGGCTGCCGTTAGCTGTGCCCGGTACCAGCCGCTGTGCACGCCCTGCGCGAGGCCGGAAATCCGAGGTCCCCGTCACACAGGTAAGTGCGTCCTCCAGGCCCCGCACAAGGCTCAGTCCTAGGGCAGCGTCCAGGCAGCTCCACTGCCCGCGGCCCTTCTCTCCTCTGACCGCTGAGGGTTGGTCCCAGTTTGACAGCGTCCTCAACACCTTTAGCTTCCCCAGACCTGGCACAGTCCTGTGACCCCGCTGTGACCTCCAGACTTCATTCCCACCAACAGCAACCAAGATTGCCGAGGAGATGGTTGGTCCCACTCCGGGGCAGTAAATGCTCAAAATGGGCTCAGGGCATCCTGTTCCTCCTAAAGCAGGAGAGTTACCAGAGGCCGTGGGGTCAGGTCCGAAGGACACGGAGCTGCTCAAGGGTGTGCGCTCCCCGCAGGGCAGTCTGAGCTTCAGAAAGCATTTGACTCAACACATTGAATTTCTAAAAAGCAGTGAAATGTGTGCGCAATGACACCAAAACAAAACCAGGACGGAGAGCCAACAGCTCATCAGACGTCCTGGGAGGTTGCGAGGGCACCGACTCCCTCCGACAGCTGCCGAGGAGGGAAACCAGGCGCGTGCCCTGCCTCCTGTGCACGAACGGTGCAGGAGGGTCCCCGTCAGAAGACGCGGCGCTGACAAATGCAGAGGATCCAAGACCTGGAGGGCCACCCTTCAGCGCCGCCCCAGGAGCTGACTGACCCAAGCAGCGGGCATTACGGACGTGCGGGGTCTGGGGGCACCTAAGCACAGAGGTCCCTCTCCCTGCCCGAGAGCGCCCCTAACCCCCAGCCCAGGCGGGCGCCTCCCCCAGCACCGAGGGCCACCATGCTTGTGGGCCCGTGAACATGGTTAAATCTATTGACTTCCTGACCCCCGAGAAGTTTTTTACACAATCCCAGGGTTACTCACAAATAGCCTTTAGTAAAGAAACTAGCAAAAGACTAAAAATCTATGTAAATCTACTGCTTGTCCCTTTAAAAATTATTTCTCAGGGGGCGGGGTGAAAGCTCTGGCAGGTTAATCAGGCAAACGTTTCCCTGGCTGGTGTGGCTCAGTGGGTGGAGCGTCAGCCTGCGGACCGAAGGGTCCCGGGTTCGATTCTGGTCAAGGGCACATGCCCGGGTTGTGGGCTCGATCCCCAGTGGGGGGCGTGCAGGAGGCAGCCAATCAATGATTTTCTCCCATCATTGATGTTTCTATCTCTCCCTCTCCCTCTCCCTTCCTCTCTGAAATCAATAAAAATATTTTTTTAAATAAAAATAAATAAAACAATCAGTTCCCCTCCAAAAAAAAATAAATAAAAATAAATTTAAAAAGCTCGAAGCACCATCTAGGAAAAGCCATTGACAAAAATAAATATGGAACCGGAATTGAAATCGGCCGTAGATACACCCTCCCGTCTGAGGGATGAGCCGCCAGCCAAGCCGGGTCGCAGTTTTTGAAAAGGACTGTTTCAGATGAAGAGCCGTGTGGGATACAATGAAGGACACAGCCCCAAGGCCCATCCAACCGGCCAAGCGGAGTGGGCGGCCGCTGGGGACGTGCAGGCGTGGCCGTGCCTGCTGGTTAGTGTTGGTAGGTGTTATGATGGCGTCATGCATGTAAAGATGATGCCAGTTTCTTAGCGGCACCCAAGCGTTCTTAGTACTGAATTGCCTTCTATTTGCCCTAAAGTACAGTGGGGCCTTGACTTACGAGTGTCCCGACTAACGAGTTTTTTGAGATACCAGCTGTCTCTCTGCCGATTTTTTGCATTGAGTTGATAGAGTAATTTGAGTTAACGAGCTCCTTAACGAGCTCGGTCTCCGAAGGAATTAAACTCGTAAGTCAAGGCCCCACTGTACTTAGCAAAGGGGGAATGGAGCACACCGGTGAAGCGGAGGGACCCATGGCTCCCTGTGCCTCCTGTGCTTTTAGAGAATTTCCTCTCGATGTTTGAACAGTGACGCGGGGGCTCCCGCCGATGGGCTTACCTCACAGAAGCATCTACCACACCGTGCTCTCCCTTTTCAATCCTCATTTCTGTTCTCTTAGACAAACAGGTGGGAGCCAGCACATGTCCTGTCCCTACAGCCCCAGCCCTGGCCCTCCACTGGGGCAGCCAGGAGCGAGGTCCCTCCGTGCCCGTGAGAAGCCACCGGCGGGGGAGCTCCCGCACCCCACCCGCTCCCGGGGCCCCGCCCCAACCTGATTGGAAGGTGATCTCGCTGAACATCATCCAGGTGTCGGCAAAGTGGTACTGGCACTTGAGGGCGCTGGCCATGCGGTGCTGCAGGGGCACGGTGACGAAGCGGGCGCTGGGGTTCACGTCGTCCAGCACCAGCGGGAAGGACACGGCGTTGGGCTCCCACTCGCCGGCCTCCGCGCGGAAGTAGCACTGCACCTCCTTGAAGGTCTTCACGCCCTTCTCGAACATGTTGTTGCAGTGCACCTGGGGGAGGGGCCGGGCCGTGACTCCCGTGCTGGCGCTGGCCGCACACGGAAATGGACGTGCTCTGTATTCCAGGCCTCCTGACAGAGTCCCGGAGTCCCTACAGAGGAAGACTGAAGCCGGCCTTTGCGGGCTGAGCGGTCTGGCCCAGAGGGAGGCCCGTGGCCGCTTGCCTGCGGAGGCTGCGACCGAGAGAGGTGCTCTCTGCCAGGGTCCTATTCCTGCCCCCGAGCTCGCCTCCAGCGTGGCAGAACATTTAGACCGAGAGACGGCTGGTGCAGGCAACCAGGGCGCTAACCTGGCCGCTCACAGCGGTGACGGAGCTGTCGGATGCTGAGTGCAGGGACAGAGCTGACAGGGGAGCCCCTGGAGGAGCCCGGGGTCCGTCAGAGAACAGACACCCCTGCCTGTGAACAGCTGGCGGAGGCCAGCTCCTTGGTGCTGGGGGAGGCAGCCGGGTGGGAAGTGGTTCAAAATGCGGAGCCCCCCTCTCCATGGGGAGAGCACAGTGCGGAGCCCCATCCTGGGTGGGACCCTCAGGTACCCCCCTGGCACGGGGTCGCCTCCGCAGCCTGGCACGTGTGCCTCTGTGGGCCCCTCCCTCCTTAAAAAGACATTAAAATCAGATGGTACAACTGTGTTGTTCAGAGGGGGGATAATTCTTGGCCCTGAAGTTCATTGTTTTCCTCTGATATTTGAAGGAGGTAAACCATGTTCATGGGCCCACAAGCATGGTGGCCCTGGAGACCGCCCACCGTGCTGATGGACGCGCCGGCTCCGCGTGGGCACCACACGCCACGAGGGACAGCGGCCTCGCAGACCGCCTTGTTTACAATGAGGAAATGGCCAGACCGGCTGGGGGACTGGGGGCCGCGCGTGGCCAGTCAGGAGCGTGTTCTGCAGCCCCGCCCAAGGCCGCCAGCCCCCGCCACGCACAGGGCCGTGTGCCCGCTGACCTTCATGGTGGTGAAGTTCCTGATGCGGTCAAATTCAAACACGATCTCGATGTAGCCGTTGGTGGCACTCTCGTTCCTCCAGCCCACGTAGTCGTAGCCGGGCCACACGTGGTACTCGTGGGTCTGGGTGAAGTCGTCCAGGCCGGACACCCCGTCCGTCAGCTGGCCCAGCCCTTCGGTCATGCTGCCGGCCAGGGCAAGAGGAGGGGACAGAGGCCCGAGTTAGCGCATGCTCACGGAAGAGCTCTCACCGGCTGCGCCGGGTTCTGAAAAAGCTGGTTGTCATGGAGGGTGTAGGATTATGAGAAATCCGATATATCTGACAGTATCGACTCATTCATCCTGCATCGGTGCAGAATGAAGCTTCGTATCGATGAATTTTACAGAACATTTGATTTTGATTCCCCTTCAATAGCAAAGCTGTTAAACAATATTCTATCACTTTCTATACTCTCTTGTGCCCTTACCTATTCTTACATACTAACATAACAAGTCTTTTTTTAATGACTCGATGTTATCAAAGACATTTGATTAACGAATCTAGGAGTGAGTGACTGCAGAAACGCACGTGGAGTGGACCACAGTCCTGGTCCCTGAGCGGGTTGGAAACTCATTGCTCAGCGAGTCGGTTCAGTAAGCCAGCCCACACCCCACACCCCATCCGACACCAAACTACAGGGCAGGAGGCCACTGGCCCTTCCACCCCACCCGTGAAAGAGGCAGAGGGATTGAGAAGTGCGAGTCGGCCGTCCCAGGCAGCCACGGGCCAAGGGCAGAGCCAGTGAGGTGCAATAGCTATGGACGGTGCCGGGGGCCTGGACTTCTTGAGGTGCCACATGGTAAATGACAGCAACGTCTAATTCCTATGCTGTGCACCTGGAAACAATGCCAAATAATATTGGGAGTAAACTGTAACTTGAGAATAAAAAACCTGCCACATTTAAGTACTCATTTATATTTCATTTTAATCAAATTCATAGACAATGAGACCCACAGAGTGAGAGGCATGGATGACACGAGGTCAGGGTCTGGCTCAGTTTTGTTCTGGGCCCGGCAGCCTTTCCACCTCCAAACAAGGCCGCTCTGAGGGCGGAGCTGCCGGGAGCCCTGCTGCTCGGCCGTTTCCCAAGACTCTGCATTGCGGGCTGGTGTCCCGCTCAGCCACACGGCATCTCTGCCGCCCGTCTCCTCACGTCACGTGCCAGCCTCTAGTCTCCTTCCCTGCGTGAACGTCCCTGCTCACCCCCTCGGTCACCATATGGCCTCGACTTCCTTCTCCCCCACCCCCCCTGGCCCTGGCATTCAGGTTCCTCCAAATTATGACGAATCTGCCTCGCTCTGCTTCGCACTGTGGCTTCGGGGAACTGAGCTGCTGCTCCCCTAAAGGGAGGCTGTGGTCCTGTCCACACGCTGCCCCTCTGCCCCCAACGCCATTTCCACGCCCCCTGCCTGGCGGCTCCACACCCTCTGGGGCCCGTCTGTCCATCCGCCAGGTGTTCGCTGACCCTCCCTACACGTGCAGCTCTCTCCCTTCAGGGCACTTCTCCCTCCATTTTAATCCCATAAGCCTCAGAGCGAAGCGAAGGAACCTTCGTTACGTGGGCCAGGGTCTTCCTCCGTGCTGGGCTCCTCGGGCGTCCCCCTCCTCTGCGCCAGGCCGCTCAGGACACGGCTCACTCACCCCCACGTGTGGCCGCTGATCCCTGTTTTAGCCCCATTCCTACTGAGAGCTTCGGGACCAATGGCTGCATGGACCACGCCTGGCAGGCACCATGATTAGCAAATTGGACTCAAGCCTGGGGTTTCCTCTGGGCCCTGGGAATAGACCGCTGGGCTGTGGCCGAGGGATGATGGCACGCCGACAAGGCAGCGGAGGGGCGGGGCCAAGCGGATGGGAAGGAAGTGACCAGAGAAGGAGGCTGCAGTCAGGGCGGCGGGGACAGCCGCCTGCTCTCCCCTCGGGGCCGTGGGCCCTGGACCTCCACGCTCCTGAGTCACCAACCTCGGAGCTCCAGTCTGGCCCTCGCCGTGGGCTGACTCCGCCAGGCTCCACTTTTGCCGATCAAGACTGAGCTGAGCAAGATAAGGTGTGGAAGTGGGTGGGCGAATGGCCAAGTGTGGTGCCACCTGGCACAGGTGGGGACAGGTCTTATCCAACCCTAATTCCTGCACACGGCCTCACAGGTCCACTTCAGGCCATCACTGCTCCAGCTCCTGGGCCAGGAGTCCTGTCCTCACCCCCCTCCACCACCCTCTGCTCTAGCTCCTGGGCCAGGCATCCTGTCCTCACCCCCCTCCACCCCCCTCTGCTCCAGCTCCTGGGCCAGGAGTCCTTGTCCTCAGCCCCTCCCCACCCCCCTCTGCTCAGCTCCTGGGCCAGGCGTCCTGTCCTCGCCCCCTCCCCACTGCTCCAAGGACCAGCCCATCCTCGAAACCCTCCTTGTCTACCCTAAGCCTTTCGCACCTTCTAAAGCACCATAGTTAGGGGTCATCCTGCCTGAACCTCTTAACCTGTGCAATTTATTAAACGGACGCCTTCCGTCCCTGCGGCCCGTGCACGGCTGCCATTCGTGAGTCAGACCCTATGTTCCGCTTCAAGGGGGAAAGCACGCTGCGTCCTCCGCCCGGAGCCGCCCTGTGAGCTCCGCTCCCTGCCATTCCCTGTCCTCCCAGGAGGCCCCACTTCCTGGGAGTAAACTCCCCGTTGGCTCCATCTACGTTATCCCGTGACGCCCAGGACAGGGTCTGAAGGAAACTGGGGGTGGATTGACTGGTTGATTGGCTATTGATCCCAAGCCATGGTTCTCTTTTAGTGGCCATTTTCCCATTCTGAGAACCCAAGTCTCCGGGAATTACCTGTACCCGACGGCTCCGTCGTAGACAGAATCGTTCAGGTAGATGACCGCGCCTCCAGGGAGCACGAACTGCTGTCCGGCCGGAGCGTTGTAGGACACCAAGCCGTCTGCGAGGGGAACGAACGGTCAGCACCAGAGCCCATCAGCCCGGGAGCCTCCCGGCTGCCCCTGCGCTGCGGCCCACCAGGCCCCAACCCGGGCGCAGCGCAGCCAGGGGTGACTGAAGTGATGCCGCGCTGGGAACACCCCTCCCGGGATGGGGAGCAGCCGGGCTGGGTGAGCGATGCTCCTCCTCTCCTCTGACCGAGAGGGAAGCCCGCACCTGGGACCGCGCACCTGCCGCCTCGCTCTCTGCAGCGCGGCTCGGACACCTACCCAGCCAGACGCAGCCGTAGAGCTCCACCCTCATGCACACGTTCATGGAATGGTCGGTGACCGGGATGAAGCGGACGAATCTGGCCACGATGGGCGGCTCCAGGTCCTTCAGGAAGATGTCGTAGGGGTTACTGCTTCCGTCCAGCACCTGAGCAGAGAGCAGAGAGGGGGCTGTGACGCTCCACTGACCCTTCCTCCCCCAGCCTCCCCCCAGGGCTGGACGTCTAGCCTCCTACCTGCTTCCCGTGCCGGTTCCGCCAGGAGATCCAGCGTGCGCCGTCCCGGCTGTAGTGGATCCTGTACATGGGGGCGAACTCGATGCCGTGGCCGCCCGCGTGGCGGCCCTGGGTCCCCACCAGCGTGATGAAGTGCAGGGAGTGCAGGTCGATCTGCAGGAACTCCTTCAGGTCGTCGGGCTCCACCGGGATCTCGGGACACCAGGCTCCATCCCCTTCCTCCGAGTCCAGCCTGAGACACGAGGGCGAGACCGGGATCCGTGACTCCCGGACTCCGCTCCCGGCGCAGCCAGCAGCTGCCCGGCCTGGCACAGGACCAGGGAGTTCTCCCTCGCGGTGGCTGCACCACCGTGCCCCCGCATGGTCAGGCCCTTCTCCCTGGCACCAGGGACCCAGAGGACAGTCACCACTGGGAGCTGGGGCCTTCAGGCCACAGGGAGGCCTGATTCGGGATGCGGAGACCTCAGTGGAGGTGCCGTGAAGCCTCCCCCACAGTCACTGCACCTGCCTCCCCTGATGGTCGCCTGGATGTCTGGGGAGGGCTAAGGTTCCCAGTGTGGGCAGCGTAGCCAGCAGGAGGGGCGTGGCCGCCCAGCAGGTGGAAACATGGTGGGAGTGAGGGGAGAGGGAACCGCGAATCATCTGGTGCTTACGTCCAGGCTGCGCTGCCGGGAGCAGAATGGGGAACTGGGTACCAGGTTCGTTCGGGGACCCTGGGACACGCTCCCTCTTCCCTGGCACAAGCCTTTGCTCACAGGTGTTGCTCACCCCCGCTGACCCCGTCCAGCCCCACCACCACCCCTCTCATCCTTAACGCACGAGTGGAATTTATGGAGGTTGTTCTTCTTATGGGTGATGCGAGTTTAACGGAAATCCACACTTCACACCAAAAGACTCAGCTCGAAGAAGGCGGTTTGGCCCTAACAAGCAGAGGGGCTTTTGACAAGGAGTTTATTCCTGCAGACGACCCGGTACCAGCGCACGGGGAGCGCCACACTCCTGGGGACGGGGCCTCCCGGGAGGCGTCCTTGAGAGCAGGGTGCTCCCAGAGCAGGTCCTCGCTAACCTGCACCCCCGCATCTGCCGCCAGCCACCCTCCGGAGCGAGCCAGCCCACTGCAGCCGGAGCCCCCGCTGTAGTGTGGCCTGGCCTCCGCGGTCAGGACGTCGCCAGACCTGCACCTGCGGCCGAGCCCCAGCTCTCCCTGAGAACACGCAGCCCAGGGCAGGCCCGTGACGTCCTCCGGTTCCCACGCGCTCCCACCAAGCACCAGCCGGCCCAGGAAACCTGTCCCACTCGGAGCTGCTGCCCGGTCCCCGCCTTGGGCCCCGCCCTCACCGTCCGTATCTGGCCGCGGTGGACTCTGACCACTGGCTGGAGGCTGTGATGTCCTCATCCGGAATGTGGCCTCCCGACATGCCCAGGGGGTAGCGGCACACGGCTGGACCAAGAGAAAGCAAAGACAGGAAATCCGTATTGTTACGTCCAGAGGCCTCCCTGGGAAGAGCACAGTTGGTTATTGGACGTGGAAAAAGCGACTCGGATCCTCCAGATCGCGATGACCCGCTCTGCTCACCGTGACGCTCAGCCTTTCCTTCCTGGTTCTGCCCCCAAACCGATCACCACGCCATCGTCCGAGCACTGACCCGCGGCCAAACTACCTTTTGGTCCAAAGGCTGAAAGGACTGTAACGCGAGTTGTGTCGACCTTCCCATCCCCACCCCCTGTCAGCAGGTGGGGTTTCCTACAGGCGATGCTCCTCGCAACCCGGGCGGGGCCAGAGCACCCCTTCCTCCCGGGGGTGGTTTCATGGAACTCGGGAGCAAGCCCAGACCCCCGGGAAGGTGCGGAGCACAGCCGCGGCCCCTCGGCACCAGGCTGGGCCCCTGGCTCAATCAGGAACCTCAGAGATGGACCCCTCCACCCGAGGTAGGGGACAAGGCCGGGTTCGCTCTCCTGGGTGAAACAAACAAGGATAAAGCATGTGAAAAACTGAGGTCTGATATAATGAACATCAGACAACCCAGGGCAGCGACCCTGAAAGACAGGAAACAGGGCGAGAGCCCACTCTGCACCAGCTCCCGCCGCGCCGTGTCGGGCGCTCAGGAGCGAGAGCCCAGGCGGGGCTGGAGGGTGTCCTGAGTGGGGACAGAGCTTGCAGGAAGGGCTGGTCAGAGGAAATGCAGGCCTCCCAGCTACATTCACATTTCAGATAAAAAACAAATACCTTTGAGCATAAGATAAAAAACAAATACCTTTGAGCATAAACATGTCCCATGCAATTAGAAAAAAAAAATAATCATGTAAAGAAGCAGGGAAATAGCAACTGATTCAGAGCTAATATCGAAACGAGAGTTGGGAAATCAAACAGTAAAACAGAACTGTGTTGCATGTATTTAACCATAAGGAGAGCTTATATGATACTAGTGACCCGGTGCACGGATTCGTGCACATTGAAAGGAAATTACTTAGAAGGTGGCCAGTGGGGTGGACACGCCCTGGAGCCAACCTCCCACCGTCCATCCCCGGCCGGCTGCACCTGGGGTGGTGCCGTGGCTCGAAAGGCATCTGACGAGTGAGCGGGATCCCTCCAGCAGGTGGGGTCCCTCGGCTTGGCCTGCGGGGATTGGGCCAAAACCGGCCCTCCGACATCCCCCCAGGGGTCCCGGAGTGCGAGAGGGCACTCTGCAAAGTTGCTGTCGTACAGGGTGTGGAACGCAAATGCAAGTATGCAGTAACCAGATTCAAGGCTGACAGTGCCCCAGCAACAACATAGCCCACGGCCAAAGGTGGGATCATGCGGCCCCACGAGGAATCGGGCTCCCTCCTCTCTGGTTTCGGGGCACGTCACCCGAGAACTGCCATTGCCAAGTCACTGCAACTAGGCAGCTCCTGCATTGAGCATCTGCCTGCTGGTGGTCAGTGAACCTCATAGCGACTGGTCAGACGGTAGGAGGGACACTTAGCATAATAGCCTTTTATATATATATAGACTAGAGGCCCAGTGAATGAAATTCATGCAAGGGTAGGGTCCCTAGCGGCTGTTGGCTGCCGGCTGGGGCCTCCCTTCATTCCGCACTGCCCCCTGGTGGTCAGCGTGCGTCATAGCAAGTGATCAAACTCCCAGTCGGTCAAACTCCCCAGGGGACACTTTGCATATTAGCCTTTTATATATATAGATAGCGAATTAGTAAATCAGATTTCTAGAGATGAGACTTGAATGTGTGAGATAAGCGCACTGGATGGGATTACAGATCGACATTAAAGAAAAGACTTATGAACTTAAAAACATCAATGGAAACTATCCAAAACAAGAAACAAGACAGAAAATCAATCAATCAACAACAAAAATAAAACATCAGTAAGATGTGGGAATTTTCAGGCCTCCAGGATTCAGGTCAGTGGGCTCCTTGAGGAAGAGCAGGGAGGGAGACAGAAAATTAATTGAATAAAATTTGATGAAGGGGAGGGGTGGAGAGGGCAATGGGGGGACATATGTAATACTTTCAACAATAAAGATTTATTTTTAAAAAATTTGATGAAAAGTCTAAACCCAAGAAGCTCTATGAGCTAAAGCACGAGAAGCATGAAGAAAACTATATGACAGGATCCTCGTCCAATTGTTTAAAAACGGGCACAAAGAGAACACCTAAAAGCAGCCAGAGAAAAGGGAGCCACTGTGACCAGAGGCCCACAGACACCGTGACAGCAACCTTCCCGTCCAAAACGGGAATTCCATCGTAAACACAGAGGACGATTTCTTGTTATTTGTATGTTTTTAAGGGGTAAGCGGCCATTTAAACAAAAGTAATAATGAATTGTGGGGTTCACGCCTACACCACAGTAAAACGCATCAGACGACAGCGCAGAGGCCTCCGGAGAAGCGGAAGCTGTCCTTCCTGTGACTTGATGTGAGACACCTGAAGACAGACCGAGGCAGCACGGCAGGTGCGCACGCCGCGCCACGCTGCTGAGACGCTCCGGAGCGACGCGGGGGGAGGTGGTGCAGTGAGGGCTGCGAGGACATCCGAGCCACCCAGCCAAAGCCTGGCGGTTTTTGCATAAATAAACAAATTACTCCAAAATTCACAGGCAACGCAAAGATCCCAGAATAGCCAAACAACCTCGAGAAGCAGGTCGCAGGGGCCACGGGCCCCCTTCTGAGAGCTCTCACTCGGGCACAGGCTCAGGCGGGCAGGGCCGGGAGGCAGGGCCCCCGCGGCCGCAGGGGAAGGCACAGGGAAGGACAAGCCGGGGTTGGCGTCCTGCATCCGGTGGGTCCGTGGGCCAGGACGGGCCGTGGCCCGGGCACCGGCGGCAGTGAGCAGCAGCACCGGGCCTGCCTGCTGAGCACGCCTGTGCCGGGTAAACTCCTCTGGCAAAGGGATCCAGCCAGGAGTGAAGATGCAGACTGGCAAGTGGCCCCGGTTCTAAATGCCAGGCCCGAGGGCCCCCACGCCCACCCTGTCGCTCCTCAGACCCCGAAGGTCTGTCTGGGAGCCCATCCGGGCACAGCCAGAGCCAGGCCGGGGCACGGCGAGGGGCGCAGGGCCAGGCACTCAGGCCGAGCGTGGCTCCTGCCTCTGCTGCCAGGCTGTGTTGGTGATTTCCCCGACGCTGCCGCTGCCCGTCTCCTGGACGGAGAAGCCAGCTCCCTCTTCCAGCTCCCGGAGTGGAAAACTACCAGCGCCCGTGGCCCAGGCCCGGGGGCGCATCCCGGCGCTGCATCCAGTGGGCTTGGCGGGCTGGCCTGGGAGGAGCAGCTGCCCAGGAGCCACGGCCACGATGCTGCCAAGGTGGAAGCTCAAAGGGCTGCTTGTTGCTGCTGTTCGCCGTCTGGCTGCGAGCCCCAGGCTTCAGCTCCCGCCAGTGAGAGTCCTATTGTGCTTCCAGGAAAACGCCAGGCGCACACGAGGCCCCTCTGGGCACGGGGAGGACACGGGTGACTGGGGGTGGGGGGTGGGGGGGCACCCAAGACGGTCTGTGGGCCACAGGACGCCTGCAATCCTGAGCCTTCAGAGCCAGGAAGGGCCTCCGGGAGCCACACCCCTGTGATGGCCCCAAGTTAAATATCGGAGCCAGAGACGTAGGTTGACTGACCAAGGATGCAGCTGACTCATGTGACCAGGCCGGGCCCAGGTCTCCTGATCCCTGTGTCCTCGCTCTTCGACCCCAGGCTACCATTGTCTAGTTCAGTGATGGCGAACCTATGACACGCGTGTCAGAGGTGACACGTGAACTCATTTTTTTGGTTGATTTTTCTTTGTTAAATGGCATTTAAATATATAAAATAAATATCAAAAATATAAGTCTTTGTTTTACTATGGTTGCAAATATCAAAAAATTTCTATACGTGACACGGCACCAGAGTTAAGTTAGGGTTTTTCAAAATGCTGACACGCCGAGCTCAGAAGGTTCGCCATCACTGGTCTAGTTCTTCCAAGTGCAGAGGGACAGGATGCCCCAGTTAAAGAGGCTGAAACAAGTGCCCACAGTCCACCTGCAGCTCCGCCCGGGAAGTATCAGGTCAGGCTCCACGCCACGGGAGCCTGCCAGGGGCCGCGGACGATGACTGGGTTTGCTCCAAGCACAAGGAGCTGTTCTGCCAAGACCCCTTTTGCCTGCCTTGAAACTCCCCTTAGGAACTGCCCTCTGGGGTTACAGTTTTCCTGGAAGACCCAGAACTTTCCAGAAATAATCCTGCTGAGCTCCCTGAGCACAGGGCACCGAGTGAGGGTCAGACAGGTGCATCCTCCCCGTTAACGGAGTCAGAAGGCTGCACAGCGAGACCACGCGCCTCGCCCGCCAGGAGGGAGCTGCACCAGCGCAGCAGCTGGTCGCTGGGAGCAGAAGCAGCCGGGGAGTCGCCTGCGCTTAGCACCTGATGCTGCGCTCTCCGAGCCTCGCCTTCCTCGTCTGTACCAAGCGGGTGGTGGAGATCTGGTGGGGTCAGACAGAGCGGGGTGCTCTGTGAGAAACGGGGCACTTGGGGATGGATGGGGGCCTTCCTGGTAGGCATGGCAGCCACTTCTCTAGCCTTGGAAGGCTGCTTGCCATTTAATGGTGATAACAGTGCTTGGTTGTAGGAACGCTGTGACACGTATGAGTTAATATGTGCCAACTACTTAGAGACATGTCGTTTAATAAAAGTTAGGTATTATTCTTTTAGACTTTTTTATTGATTTCAAAGAGGAAGGGAGAGCAAGAGAGAGATAGAAACATCAATGATGAGAGAGAATTATTGGTTGCTGCCTAGTGCACCCCCTGCTCTGGGGATCGAGCCTGCAACCCAGGCATGTGCTCTGACGGGGAATTGAACCTTGACTTCCTGGTTCAT